CGCCGCCGCCGCCGCCGACCACCACCACCGCCGCAGCAGCAGCAGCAGCAGACGACGACGACGACCTACAACGACCACCACCCCCCTCCTCCTCCTCCTCCTCCTCCTCCTCCTCCTCCTCCTCCTCCTCCTCCTCCTCCTCCTCCTCCTCCTCCTCCTCCTCCTCCTCCTCCTCCTCCTCCTCCTCCTCCTCCTCCTCCTCCTCCTACAGATGTCATTGCGTGAGGGCTGCGAGCGTATCTTACGGTCAGATGTTGTTCTCTTGGAGAGGCGGCTCAACAAGGTGAAGTTTGAGGAGGAGGAGGAGGAGGAGGAAAGTATCATATCGTGCTTTCTAACTTGCTTGCAGGCTCAGAGGAGGGCGACGAGGATCGACGGGAGGGTGAGTATGAGCAGGAGGGAGGAGCGGGTTACAGACTTGGTTGCCTGACATCGCCCTCTCCCTCTGCTGCTGCAGACGCGATGCTGTTTGACAGGAGCGTCGCTGACGGGAGATGCGAGCGGGAGGTGCTCGCTGACGTCTCGTCGCTTGACCTCCTCAGCTCCATGTACGCAGGATCTTGTGGCCATACCCGGACCTGGTCGTCTTTCATGGCGGGAGAGTCTTCCAGGCACGGCTGCTCGCGCGTCGCTTCTGCTGATGCAGCCGCAGGAGGCAGCGCTGATCGATCACTGCTCGGACCCTCTCAACATGCAGGCGCTCATGGGCGCCGGTCCTGCACCCTCGCAGCCTGTGACGTGCTGACCCTCTCGCAGGCAAGAGCGGGAAGCTACAGGAGGGGGCGAGTGGAGGAGGTCAAGCGCCAGGGGTGAAGGGGACGGGGACTGGAGGAGATGGAGCAGCAGCAGCGAGGATTATCTTTCAGAAGGGCTTTCAGATCAAAGACAAGAGTCTGTACAAAGATGGCATGTTGCATGGAAGGGATTGGTGATCTAACTCTTGCGATTCATGAAAGATACAAGAACAAAGACTGCTCCTTCCTCTTTCTCCTCCTCATCCCTCCTCGTTCTTCTCCTCCCTCCCTCCTCGTTCTTCTCCTCCCTCCCTCCTCGTTCTTCTCCTCCCTCCCTCCTCTCTTCTTCCTCCCTCGCGCTCCTTTCCTGTTCCCTCAGCTTCTCCCCTGCCACTGCCACATCCTACCCGCCATGCGGCTGTTGATCCGTTTGCTCACAAGCTTCCCCGACTCTCCTAGCAGTGCCCCCTATTGAAAATTACTTAGAGTCTGACTCGAGAAAATGCTCCGGTAGAGGGCACCCTTGATAGCTACCACCTTTGACAAGGAACTGCCATGGCGCAGGGTCGGGAGGAGGAAGAGGGCAGGAGGGGGGGAGGGGAGGAGGGGAGGAGGGGAGGAGGACGAGGACGATTGAGAAGAGCAGAGGTGCTGATGAGGGAGGGAGGGAGGGGGAGCACATGAGGAGAGGAGAGTAAGGAACGAGAGGCAGAGGGGAGGAAAGACGAGAAGGTTGTAGAGCGGGACGATGGGAATTAACGCCATGAGGAGGAGGAATGGCAGAAGATTGAGTTGAGCAGCGATCGCTGTCATCAGCTAGGATGGAGGATGATTCTCTCAACGGAGTCGAAGAGGAGGAGGACCAAAACAATGACAGCATGCAGCCCCCTGCTCCCCCGCACGACGAGACCGACACGGTTATCGCGGGCTCCTTGCTGTGGTTCCGCGGTCGCGTGCAGTCGATGCTGCGTCTTCGATCGGACAAGGTGGACAACCTCTTCGACAGGGCTCACTCCAAGCGCGTCTTCCTCGACTTCATCCGCGAGCCAGCGAGGCGACGGCTCATGGTATGGCCGGACGTACAAGATGAGCTGAGCGTGGGGTACGAGCTGCCGCCAGGCAACCAGCGCAAGTCCATCTTCTTCCTGAAGCAGCGGAGCTTCCGGGTAGAGGAGGACGGGAGCCTGTCGGGGATCATGATCGGCGACCTGCCTGCGGACGTACTGGAGCATCTTTCAGTGATCTCGCACGAGGTGCTCTATCCCATCCTGGTGGCTGGGCGAGGGAAGGAGTCGGAGTCACTGAGCAAGGAGATTCTCGACGTCTTCCACAAGTTCCTCTCCCAAGTCTTCCTCACCGTCGGGCAGACGCAGGGGAAGACGCTGCTGCCGCTCCCCCCGCGAGACCCGAACCAGAAGGACGTGTCGGAGCAGAGAATCGTCAAGGATAAAGAGAGGGTCCACGTGCTGGAAAGCTGTGTGGTTACCTGGACGCAGCAGATCAGAAATGTGCTCAGGCACGAGCCTCCGACGTTCATCATCCCCGGGGAGAGCACCACAGGCTCCTCCTCCGAGTTCGCCTACTGGAGGAACCGAGCCAAGGACCTGACGTCGATCAACGAGCAGCTGTGCAGCAGCAAGGTGCAGAAGGTGCTGCAGGTGCTGGAGGTCACCAAGAGCACGTACGAGAAGCCCTTCCAGAAGCTCGTCAAGGAGGTGACGCTCGCCAAGCAGGAGGCCTGCAACATCGACCTCCACCTGAAGCCGCTGGAGAAGCTGCTCGCCGAGTATCGAGACACTCCCTTCACAGACATCGGTCGCATGTTCGCGCCCGTCATGCTCGCGCTCTCGCTCATCTACGCGCGTCCGACTCAGTTCGCCAACCCCGTGAGGCTGCAGAGCATCCTGGAGAAGATCTTCAACGACGTGATCTGCGCGGCCCTCAAGTTCGTCAATGGATCTCAAGTCTTCTCGTCCGATCCTGACGAGATGGAGAGTCGGCTCAACGAGACCATCGCCATCTTCGGGCAGCTGAGGCGAACCTACCTCGAGTACAAGGCGCGATCAGAGCAGTCCAAGGTGCCATGGGCCCTGCAGGACGAGCTTGTGTTCAACCTACCCGACCAGTTCGTGGAGCGATGCTACGACATGATCGACCTCGTGCAGATGACCTCGCGGTTCTCAACCCTCAAGTCTGTTCAAGTTGGCGGTGAGATGCGCATCTCGCGATCCATCGACCAGATCACCGCAGAGTTCCACGAGGCGCTCAAGCACGTGCAGGACACGGGGTACGACCTGCTCGACATCTCGGCGAGGAAATACGACGACGATTTCTTCGAGTTCAGGCGGATCATCCGAGACTGCGAGAGGCGGTTGGGCTCGCTGATCGCAGAGAGGATGGAGGAGATTCACACGCTCTCCGCCTCCTTCAGCTTCCTTGCCTGCTTCGAGGGCATGCTCGACCGCAAGATCATCCAGGACAGCCTGGGCGAGCGAGAGCTGAGCTTGCTGCGAGCCTTGCAGGAGGAGGTGGAAAACGTGCAGGAGGCGTTCACTGGGGGCAAGGAGAACCTCCCTTTCTACTACAACATGCCCCCTCACGCCAGCCGCGTCCTCTGGAGTCGCTCCCTCAGCGATCGGCTACGAGGGCCCATGGAGTGTGCAAAACGGATGATAAGGAACGCGATGACGTCAGAGGCAGGGCAGGAGACTCTGAGGAGGTACGATGAGCTACTGGAGGAGCTCAAGGGCTTCGAGGAGGAGGAGATCAGGGCGTGGCTGGAGGGCATCGACTACAAGTTTGGGGAGAAGATGAAGCAGTCGCTGCTGATCCGCGAGATCGGATCGAAGCGACTCAGAGTGAACTTCGACGCAGGTGTCTGGGCCCTGCTGCGGGAGACAAAGTACCTCAGCCTGTGCGAGGTTGAGATCCCCGAGATGATCCGCGGGCTCTTTCAACGAGCTGAAATCTACCAGCAGCACGCGCGGAACCTGGAGATCATCGTGAACGACTACAACGTGCTGCTGTCCTCCATGGCAGAGGTAGAGGCTCCCCTCATGTCGCAGAAGATGGAGCTGGTGGACGAGGCGCTGGAGGAAGGGATCGAGCACCTCAACTGGAGGAACCACTCCATCTCCTCCTTCCTCAAGAAGACCACCTCCTACATCACAGATGCGGCGGCGCTGCTGAAGCTGCTGCAGAAGAACGTGAACAAGGTCTGCAAGCTGCTGCAGGGCTGGTCCAACAGCAGCCTGCACTCGGTGAGGAAGAAGACTCTGGGAGCCGAGGAGTACCTCCAGTTCTACCAGCATGCGCTGGAGAGCCGTTACAACGGATTCCGAGAGGAGAGCCGGCAGATCCATGCGCTCATCGCTGAGATCCACCTGGCACTAGAGTTGAGCAGGGGAGACCCAGGCTGGAAGCACTACGTGACGCACGTGAACCAAGTGATCGTGGAGACGCTGAGAGCTGCAGTGCTCGACTCGCTCGACAGCATCGTCAACATGCTCGACCCCTCCAAGAGGAAGGACTCCCTCCCTCCCATCGTCGAGATCCGGCTGGAGCTCATCGCCCCTGACGTGTTCTTCAACCCGGACATCGGATCCAACATCTCAGGCACAGGACTCGAGGACTTGCTCGAGCGCTGGATCGCCTCCTCTCTCGACGTCACTCACGTCCTGCAGAGGATCGACGGCAGTGACAGCACCTACTACAACGACGTGGTCGTCAGCTCCGAGGTGCAAGGAAGGATGGCGGAGATTCGGAGCCTGGCGGCGGGAGTGTTCAGGTCGCTCAAGGATCTCAAGTCTCGCTTCGAGGAGTTCTCCTCCTTCTGGCTCCAGGAGCCTCTCGACCAGTTCGCCGTCTTCCTCAACGACATCAGGAACTCGAACCTCAGCGCCGAGGAGGAGCTCACCAACTTCGAGGATCAGATCCGCGTGCTCAAGGAGACCGAGGGCAGGATCAAGCTGCTGAGCAACAGAGAGACGCACGTGTGGGTAAGCGTCGACGCGAAGCCGATGAAGCAGGCGCTCTTCACGGTGCTGTCCAAGTGGACCTTCACCTATACCAACCACCTGGTGCAGAAGCTGCTGGTCGAGACCGACGAGATGCAGGGCTTCCTCGCTCGCGCCTCCTCCAAGCTCCGCGCGTTTGCGGAGGAGGTGGACGAGTCGTCGCTGAAGGAGATCATGACGCTGATCAGCGACGTGAGGAGAATGTCGGCCAAGTTCGAGGACCTGCACAGCCCGTGGGTCTCCTCCATCTCCATCCTCAAGAGCTACAACGTCGAGGTGCCGCAGTGGGTGCACGAGCATGTCAGCTCGTCGGGAGCTCAGTGGTCGCAGCTGAAGAAGCTCATGTACCAGTGCCGTACGATGCTGGAAGACAACTGTCTCCGTGAGCAGGCGAGCGAAGCCTCCCCTTGTCCTGCTTGCTTCACCCTCTCCTCTCCTCCTTTCACCTCCTTCTCGCTGATCCGCTGCCTCAGGTCCGGCTCAAGGAGGTCAGCAGCAACTTTGCAGCGCGAGCAAGCTCCTACCGCTTGTGGTTCGAGTCTCATATGCCCTTCACTAACTCCTTCGACAGCGACTTCGCATACAGCATGATCGACGCGCAGCATCGAGGACTCGCTGCTTCCCCCAGACCCGCACGAGATCGCACGGGGAGCGAGGGGGCGGTGACCTTCAGCCTGCCGTCGAGCTCGCACGAGAGAAGCTCGGTGCCGTCACTGGCGCAGATGCTGGAGGAGCTGAAAGAGCTCAACGTGGAGGAGGAGATCTTCGACCTCCCGCTGACCTTCCATGAGGGTCTGCTCGAGTGCAGGGAGGAGGTTGGGATTCTCAAGCACCTCTGGGACCTCGCCTCGCTCCTCCACTTCGCCTTTGCGCACTGGCATGAGATCGCGTGGGTCGGGGTAAACCTGGAGGAGGTGGCGGAGGAGATGAGGGGGGTGTGGCGAGTGATCCGAGAGGTTCCCAAAGAGGTGGGCATGAGCGAGTACAAGCAGGGCGTGTTCCAGCAGTGGCCCCTCTACTCCTACATGAACGAGCGCATGGCAAACGCGTTGCAGGCGGTGGAGCTGATGAAGCAGCTGCAGGCGTCCAACATCCGGCAGAGGCACTGGAAGCAGCTCATCCGGGTGACCGGGTCGAACCTCATCTCGGAGATAGACATCAACCTGCGCGAGATGTTCTCCTTGAACCTCGTCCAGCACGCCCGCGAGGTCGAGGAGCTCGTGCGAGGAGCGGAGAAGGAGAGCGAGATCGAAGCTCAGCTCGCGAAGTTGGAGAAGGAGTGGTCCCAGCTGGAGCTGGCCTTCCAACGCGAGGAAGGAAAAGTCTTCCTCCTCCCCCCCGACAGCGTGCTCTCCCTCCTGCACGAGTCTCTCATCGAGGTTCAGCTCCTCAGCTTCAATGTCTACGTGGTCAGGAACGCCTCCTTCTCCGACCAGGTCGCCACCCTCCAGCACCAGCTCGGCACCACAGAGTCGCTTCTCAACTTGTGGCTGCACGCGCAGCACAGACACTCGACGCTCGAGGCTCTCTTCGCCACCCGCGCGGCCGCCAAGGGATGCGCGGACAAGGCTGCGGACTTCGAGGCGATCGACCAGTCATGGCAGACGATGATGGCGCAGGCAGCCGCCATGCCCAACGTGGTGGAGACATGTACGAGCGAGGAGCGCTTCAAGCAGATCAAAGCCATTCACAGCAAGCTCGAGGAGATCGAAGCGGCGATGAGAGGCTTCCTGGAGCAGGCGCGGGATCAGTTTCCTCGCCTCCACCTGCTCTCAGACGAGCAGCTACTGATGCTGATGAGCTTCGAGGGTCAGCCTAAGGAGACGATGGAGTACCTTCGCTTCCTCTTCCCCGGGGTGCATGAGCTGGGCATCGACTTTCAGGACGGGGGAGAGGCTCAGGTCTTCACGTCGGTGAGGGACAAGAAGGGCGGGAGAGTCAGCCTCACTCCTGTGCGGTGCGATGGGACCATCCTGGATTGGATCAAGGAGCTTGACAGTAAGACGACCGAGTCGATGCGACGCCAACTGTCGGAACTCATGCGGGCGACGCTCGAGTCGAGCGAGTCGCTGGCGAGCGGAGCTCATGTCCAGCTGGCGCTGGTCTGCCTCTCCATCGATAAGAGCGCGAAGATCGACGGGCTGCTGCAGGAGATGCTCACGGCAGCTGGAGAGCAGGTGAGGAGCTTCAAAGACGCTCAGAGGGCAGAGGTGGACGCCTGGACATCCCAGCTGAGGGACAACCAAGTGCACGAGCTGGAGCGCGACCGGCTCTCGATGCTCCTCCTCGCCGCCCTCGACTGGATGCACCTGATGGAGCTGCTCGAGACGATCCCGTCCTGCAACCCCAGCAGCTTCGAGTGGAAGATGCAAGTCCGGTACCGGATGGTGGAGGACTCGTGCGAGGTGCTGGTGGGCGATCGAAGCCTGGGGTATGGATACAGCTTCATCGGACACAACCTGAGCTGTACGCTGAAAACCCCTGCCTCTCGTCCCGCCTTCTACTCTCTCATCCGCAACTTCAGCGAAGGAGCAGCAAGCCTTGTGACAGACGTCAGGCAGGAGAAGCTGCAGACGGTGACGTCCATCGCTCACTCTCTAGGCGTCTTCCTCCTCCTTCACCGAGGAGGAGGGCTGACGACCGACAGAGACTTTTTGCTCAAGGAGCTCATGGGGGTCGCGAGTGCAGGCGGCTGGTACGTCATCACCAACCTTTGGGCTCTGCCCCCCAACGTGCTCGCCATCGTCCAGCAGGCTGCCAGGAGCTTCATCTTCGCCGTCCGAGCCATGAGATCGACGAGCATTGAACCTCAGCTGATCCCCAGCTTGAGCCTGTTCGGGAAGACGATGAGCTCGAGCTCCTACTTCTCTCTCGTTGCTACTGCCAGCGAATCTTCCGCACAGCAGCAGAAGCCCTCCTGGTCCTCAGCCCCCTCCTCACCCTTGCAGCAGCAGCGGCGGCAAGAAATCTGCCTGCCGTCGTTCCGACAGATTTTCCGCCCACTGAACATGCTTCTTCCCGACCTGCTTACCGTCGCCTGTATCTGCCTGATGGAGCAAGGATTCCCCGACGCTGCGAGCTTGGGGAAGCGAGTTCACGACTTCTTCCTCCTCGCCCGCAAGTCGCTGAGCGAGTGTCGGCACTACCAGTGGAACGGGGAGCTGCTGCGAAAGATCATCAGGGTATCCGGGCAGAAGAGGAGAGAGATACTGTCAGAGACGTTGCAGACGACGCGCGAGGGAGAGGCGGAGAAGGAGAAGCAAGACTCCTTGCAGATTCTCGGACAGACAGCGCTCAAGGTCCTCCAGCCGCAGCTGCTCGAGCAGGATAAGTACACCTTTGCGCTGCTTGTCGACCTGCACCTGCTCAGCCCTGAGAAGGCTGACGAAGTGAAGGCGAAGGAGGAGGAGACGGGGGAGCGCGAGGGAGAGGTCTCAGGTATCAGCCCCCCCTCCACCATGGCGGCGAGTTTCAAGGGAACTCTCGACCCCTCTGACGCCTCGCAGCCCGCGAGCGCGTCGGTTGAGCTGAACCTGCAGGCAGCGGCGGGGGAGCTGCAGCTGGAGCTGAGCGAGGACTTCTACAGGCTGTGCGTGCACTTCACCACCTTGTCAGCTCACTTCCCAGCTGTTATCCTCCTCGGCCCTCCTGGCTGCGGCAAGTCCTCCATCGTCCGCACATGCGCAGTGCACAAGAGAATGTCCAAGGTGCCGGTGTCGCTGAGGACGGTGACCTGCAACATGATGGAGGTGCGCGAGCTCTACGGCTTCTTCCCCGACAAGTCCATGCGATGGCAGGACGGCATTCTCTCCTCTGTCCTCCGTGACTTGAGCGCTGCTGCCCTCGCCGACCCCAACTCGCAGCAGTGGCTGCAACTGGACGGAGAACTGCATCCGTCATGGAGCGAGCCCATGGGAGAGGCGCTGGAGGAGGAGGGGGAGGTGGTGTTGCCTTCGCATGAGAGGATCGTCAAGCCCCAGCAGGTCAAAATCCTCTTCGAGGGGACCAGCCTCAAGCATGCAGACCCCAACATGGCGGCGCGATGCGGCATCCTCTACGTGCCCCCGAGCGAGGATGGCTGGACCAACACGACGAGATGCTGGATGAGGGGCATCGACGACACGGAGATCTTGTCTCTCTTAGGAGACCTGCTGGGCGATGCGCATGACGACCTGCTCCCCAGCGCCATCAAGTTTCTCGCACGGGAGTGCACGTTTGCTTCTGCAGCACGAGAGGTAGACGGAGGCTCCGTCAACGCGCTTGCTCAGATGTTCTGCTCCATCCTCAACGGAACAGACCTGATCAAGAAGACGGAGAGCGAAGCTGACAGCCATCGCGGCGGCGTGAAGGGCAACGTCTCCATGCTTGACGCGCTGCCAACCAGGAGCCAAGAGGCTTCCTTCAACGAGAAGAGAGTCGCGTGGCTGGGGAACCTGCTGATCTACTCCATGCTCTGGAGCTTCGGCGGGCTGCTAAACAAGGACTCGAGGTTGAAGTTCAGCTCGTGGACGCGAGGAAAATTGATGGAAATGGAGGGGAACAAGGAGCGCTTGAAAACGCTGATCAGTTTGCCTCCTACCGGCAACTTGTACGACATGTACTATGACGTCGCCGACTCCACCTGGAAGGTCTGGAGCGACTCGCAGCGGGAGCATCACTACCTGACCGGAGGGAACGAGGAGACCAACTCCGAGCTCTTCCTCGTCGCCCTCCCGCAGACCATCGCCATCCAGAGCTGCCTCTCGCTGGTACACAAGGCGGGCCATCCCTTCATGCTGCATGGATCCGTCGGCTCCGGCAAGTCTGCCATCCTCACCGACTTCTTGTCGTGCCTGGACCCGGAGCAGACGATCAGCGCGAAAGTTCCCGTCACGGGCAGCACCCGGCCGCGAGACCTGCAGGCGGCCATGGCGGTGGTGCTGGAGCACAAGAGCGGGAGGCTGTTCGCTCCCAAGGGCACGAAGCGAGTCACCTTGTTCGTGGACGACCTGCACCTGGTGCGCAAGGACGCGAGCGGGATGAAGCGAACGCTGGAGCTGCTGCGGCACATCCTTGACAACGGCAACTGGTTCGACCTGACCCTCTGCGCCGAGTGCATCCTTCAGAACTGCCTCTACGTCGCCGCCATGTCGCCATCGCTGACGTGGGTCGAGGATGGGAGACTGCGCCGTCACTTCGCCTGCCTGCACGTAGAGGAGCCAAGCAAGGAGGCGCTGCAGGCCATCTACAGAAACATCGCTCTCTCCATCTTCCGCGTGCATGACGCTGAGGTACAGCGGATGGCAGAGCCGTTGGCGCACACGTCAGTGAAGCTCTTGATGGACTTGTCGTCTGTCTTCACGGCCTCCAACGATCGCCCTCACTATCTCTTTAACCAGCATGACCTCGCCAAGATCTTCACCGCCCTTCAAGCTCGCTCAGACCTCTGCTCCTCCCCAGTCTCACTCGCGCAGGTCTGGGCGTTCGAGTGTCACTGCGTCTTCATCGGCAGGTTGACCAGCCACGACGATGTGAACATGAGCACGAGGATCATCTCCCGCGCCGTCGAGACCATCGACGAGCATCTGGGGCTGCGAGAATCGCAGACGGAGACGTTGAAGAAGACTTCCTTCCTGTGCGTGCGAGAGCAGGGCAACGGCCTCACTGTGCTCCCCGTCCACGAGCAAGCCGATCTCCAGGCGAAGATCGTTAGCCATCTGAGCGACTCCTTCCCCTCCCTGGGGGTCCCCTGCTCCCGCACCCCCTCGCTCGTCGACTTTCAGAGCATGGCGGCTCTCTACGCAGAGAGCATCGCCAGCATCTCAGTTGCTCTCGGACAGCCCGGGGGGCACGCGCTGCTGCTGGGGCCAAGGGGGAGCGGGAAGACGACCTTGAGCCACGTGACTGCCAGGCTGTGCGGCCTGACCCTCGTCGACCTCTCCTACGACCCTGACAAGGAGGAAGAAGCGAACCTGCGCAGCCGCCTATGCGACCTCTACTGGGACGCAGGAATCAACCGCGTGAGCATGGCGGTGCTCGTGAAGGTCAGAGGCAGGTCGTCGCACCGCATGCTGTCCTACGTGAGCGACATGCTCAACGCTGACGGGTACGCGCACATGATCTCCTTGTTTCCTGACTCGCGGCGGAACGAAATCTTCGCGTCCTTGAGAGGAGAAGTGCGTAAGCAAGGCCTGGTTGACACCCCAGAGAACTGCTGGACTATGCTCAAGTCGATGGTCAACGCGAACCTGCACGTGATACTGAGGGTGTCGGTGAGCGAGAGCTCGTCGCTCCTCCAGGTCTTGTCCTCCTTCCCCGCCCTGGTCTCCCGGATGTCCGTCCACTGGGTCGGGAACTTCGTCTCGGACAACCTGCAGGCCTTCGCAAAGCACTACCTGAGGAGCGTGTGGGAGGGCGAGGAGGACGAGGAGCTGACGGTGCAGGCGGCCCGACACATGTCGCTCGTCCATCACGCGGCCAGCGAAGCAGCGCGGCACGACCACGAGAGACACTCGCTAGCGCTGCATCCTGCCTTGTCTCCCTCCCTTCACAAGGATCGTTCGCAGCTCGCCTCCTCGCAGTCGGTCGCTCCCTTCACCTGGTACAACCTTGCCTTCGTTAGGATCTACCAGGAACGCAGTCGCTCTCTCCGTGACAAGTGCGACATGGCCGGCCGCGCCAAAGTGAAGCTTGAGAGTGCACTGGCTCGGCTCAACGACCTGGAGACCATCATCGAGGACCAGAAGCAGGTGGTGGAGCAGAAAAAGATCGTCGCCAACCGCCTCCTCGCGCAAGTTGGTCAGGAAACGGCGCTGCTGGACGAGCAGCGAGCGGTGCTGGTGGAGGACGAGAAGAAGCAGGGAGCGCTGAGCGAGGTGCTGTCGGAGCTGCAGGCCAACCTCAAGGAGCGAGTCGATCTCGCGGCTCCGCTGCTGGAGAAGGCTGAGTCAGGACTGAACCGGCTGGACTTTTCCAACTTGTCGGAGCTGCGAAGCATCACCAGCCCTTCAGAGAGCTTGCTGGCTGTCTCCCGCTCCCTCGCCATCCTCCTGACGCAGCGAGGAAAGTCTCTGCCGGAGGTGGAGATGCTGGTGTGGAAGGAGGTCAAGAAGATGTTCTCGAAGGTCGACTCCTTCCTCAACCTCCTGACTCGCTTCAACGTGAAGGACGCCAACGCTGACGCAGTGCGGGTGGTGGAGGAGGAGTATCTGGTGCTTGCAGTGTTTGCCGAGGACGTGAAGGATCCCCCGGTGGTTTCAGGGCTCAAGACGTGGGTGACCAACATCATCGCCATGTTCCACATCTACGAGGAGATCAAGCCCAAGCAGCACGAGCTCAACATCCGCAGCAAGGAGTGGGAGCTGATGGCCGCCAAGGTCGCCGACCTCTCGACGCGCGTCAAGACGTTGGAGTCGCGGCTGACGGAGCTCATGGCCAACTTCCAAGACGCCACCGAAGAGAAGAACGCCGCAATCAAGACGCTCGAGGACCTGGCGGCAAGCTGTGAGATAGCTGGAAGACTCGCCAAGGCTGTGACGAGCAGCGACGTCAACCCGATCGAGGAGGCCAAGGAGAAGTACGACAGGCAGCTGCAGTGCCTGCTGGGGGACTCGCTTGTCGTCGCGGCGATGGTGGCGTATGCGGGAAGGCTGGACGTGATGGGACGGCGCTTCTTTCTTGAGGAGAGCGTGGAAGCAGATCTGAGAGCTCAGAAGCTCCCCCTCTCCGAGGGCTCTGAGCTCAAGCTGCAGGCCCTCGTGCGCACAGCGACGATCGCCAAGTGGCACGTGGAGGGGCTGCCAACGAGCCGCTTCCTTCTCGAGTCTGCCATCATTGCGCTCTACTCGCCTGCTTGGCCCCTCCTGCTCGATCCCGAGGGTGTTGGTCTCCGGTGGACCATCTCGCTCCATCGGGAGGAGAGCCAGAAGCGAGGAGGAGAGGCTGAGTGCGTGGTGAGGAAGGACGATGACGTGGAGCTGGTCAGGACGATGAGACTCTGCGTCAGCACTGGCAAGACTCTCGTGGTGCATGGGACGCTGAGGCGACTGAGCGGCGACTTGTGCTCCCTCCTGCATAGGAAGCTGTACATGCTCAAACGAGTTGCGGTCGTCGACCTCGCAGGCGAGCCTACGGTCGTGCACCCTGAGTTTCGGCTTGTCTTGGTAGCGGCGTGCGATCGAGATCGTTTTGAGGAGGAGCTGGAGTCGGCGACGACGCAGATCAAGTTCTCGAGCAGCTTCTCAGGCATCGTCCGAGAGAGGATCCTTGAGATGGTGATCCGGCTTGAAATCCTCGAGAGCTCTGCCAACTGGCTGGGCCTGCTGAGTCGTCGCCACAAGATGTTGCAGGTAGGACGTCATACCTGTGTGTGTGCAAGAGGCTGACGCGATGGCAGGAGAAGCAGGAGCTTGAGATCTCCATCCTCCGCATCCTGGGGGACAAGGAGGGTCAAGTGCTGTCAGACGAGCGTGCGAAAACCGTCGGAGATGACTTGGGTAAGATGTTCCAAGTGAACTCACAGCTCCACGAGACGATCTCTGAGAACAGGCGAGAACCTTCCTCTTCAATTTCTCACCATCAACATGACGCTCCTCCCTCCCTCCAACCCTCCATTCGCCCCCTCCTTATGATCCTTATCCTCATCCTGTCGAATCAAACATAATGACCTGACTAGTCAGTTTGCAGGGCAATCAATGCTTTCAAGCATTCTTATCGCAAAGTTGCGATGGCAGGAAGTTTGCTCATCAAGACAGCGATGCAGCTTCAGTCGATGGATGCGACCTACGTCACTTCAGCTGAGTTCCTACTGAGCATGATGGAGGACGAGATCAAGCGAGGGTCGGAGAACTTTGAGCAGGTCGAGATAGAGACTCTCTTCGACGAGACGTGGAACGAGCTTCCTGATCACGGTTAAGCCACCGCACGTGAGAGAGGAGGGCTGAGGATGCTGCAGGTGTGCGGAGAGAGTTTGAAGCGAGCGAGTTGTTCCTTTACCAAGACAAGGAGGGCGGGGAGACGAGGAGCGGAGAGACGGAGATGACGCAGACGATGAGGTCCGGCGAGGTCAGCTTCCAGGATTCCGGCCAAGAGGAGCAGAGGAGCAGCGAGGGGGACGAGCTCGGGGAGGATGCTCCCGCTGAGCTCCTCGAGTTCCCGGGCTTCGTTGGCATCCCCGACATCGAGCTGAGGGTGGAGGCTCTGAGCCGAGCCGTGTGGCGTAGCATCGCCCGGTCGTGCGGGATGGGGATGAGGGCGGAGGACGTGCAGCTGTTGAGCTTGTTGGCTGCCATTCATCTTCACCTGCAGACCCTGACTGACAGGGGGGCGCGAGCGGCTGACCTTGAGCTCCTCGACGCCTTCTGTCACTTCCAGACCAAGTTGCACAGCTCCAACGCTCTGAACGCGACGATAACGAAGATGGAGGAGGAGGAGTTTCCGACGTGGATGTCCGAGAGGAGCAAGCACAGCATGAGGCAGCTGGCTGCGCTGAAGAGGAAGGGACTTGTCTTCCAGGAGGTCCTCCACTCCTTGCAAGACTTCAAGCCGCTCATGCAGCCCCGTGACCCCTCGACCCTCCTCCTTCCCGACCGATGGCAGAAGCAGCTCAACCCCATGGAGCGATGGATCCTCCTCCTAGCCTTCCGCCCAGATGCGACCAGGGCAGCATGCGCCCGCTTCTCCCGCGAGATTCTGTGGGGGGCAGAGGAGACTGTTCACCCCAGCAACGACCTGACCGTGCTGGACGGAGCTTTCTCCTCCTCGCGGCCCCTGGTCGTCCTCCTCTCGTCCCCAGAGATGTTCGACACAGCTTACAACCAGCTCCTCCGCAAGTGGCCGCTCCTGGAGCTTCTCTCGATGAGCAGCATGCAGGAGAGGGAGGGAGTGATGGCGATCGAGACTGCGAGGAGGAGCGGACGACCTGTCATGGTGGAGAATGTCCAGCTGCTCACCAACTGGGAGACTCTCGTCTTTGAGTCTGCGGCCTTTCCGACGTCAGAGAGGCGGGGGGAGGAGGGGGGGGCTGATGGGTTCCGCCTCATCCTTCTCTTCTCGCTGGACTTTGTGAGGGAGAGTCTCCAAGGTCCGACACTGCAGCTCGAGGCCCCGCAAGCGCTTCCTCTGAGACATGGCCTCCTCAACCTCCTCCGTCGCAGCCCCCGACTTCTGTTTGCTCCTCCTACCTCGGTCAAGCGCAACTTCATCGAGAGCATCCGCTTGGCGGCTTTGCGTCAGTCAGAAGGGGAGGAGGAGAGGGCGACGGTGGGAGGAGAGAACGAGGCTGAGCGGAAGATTCTCGCCGCCAAGATTGTCTTCTCTCTCGCCATCCTCCACAACGTCTGCCGAGCGAGGAGCGCGCGCTCCTGGAGCTGCTTTCACCCTTTTGCTTCTCTTGCCACGCAGGACTTCGGCCTTGTCCTCTCAACTTCCCTCCAGCTCATGCAGAGCAAGCGAGTGCTTCACTCGAGCTTGTGGCGAGAGCTTCGCTTCCTCGTCCTCGAGGTTCACTACACTCCTTTCCTCTCCGATGCCTGGCAACGACACGCTCTGGAGCTGCTTGTCGGTTTGACTTGTCCCTGGAACGCGTTTGAGGGAGCGTCCAAGGACTCGGCGATGGGGTTCCTGGAGGGAACGACGATGGACGTGGAGGCGGCGAGGGAGGAGGTGACAGACTTCGAGACGATCGCGTCCTTTGCGACGAGACCTCAGCAGCTGCGGATGGAGGAGGTGATGGTTGAGCTGGAAGCCTCATGGGCAGTAGCAGAGGAGATGCCAGCAGATCTCGCTGGGGGGATCAAGTTGGGGGACATGGAAGACGAGCTGCTACAGGAGGTGCAGAAGGGAGTGGGGGACCTGATCTTCAGAAGGAAGAAGCGAGAGATCAATCGACAAGACAGAGCCAAGATGACGCTCGACGAGCTGCAGGAGCGACTGCCTGTGCTGCTTCCCCTCCCTCAGGGTGCCATCGAGAGCGATCTCTTCTTCCAGTTCTTCGCTAGAGAGCACGCGGCTCTCACCTCCCTCCTCTTACAGATCGCGAGGACCAACAACTTGCTGGAGTTGGCGCTAGACAGGCAGGGCCAATTCGAGGAGTCGACGGACACGGTCATCGACAGCTTCTGCCATGATCGCATCCCCTCCGAGTGGCTCTCCCGCTCCTACCCAACCTGCCGGCCCCTCGGCTCGTGGTATAGCGATCTTATCCTCCGATGCGAGATGATGGACGACTACAGCAGAAAGGTCCTTCTCCATCAGCACCACCACCACCTCCTCCTCCTCCTCTTCCTTCCCCTCTTTTTGCATTCCTCAACCTTCTATCCCACTTGTCTGCTCGCTCTGAGTGTCAGAAGCAGAAGCAGCTTCCTCCAGTGGTCTGGCTGGGAGGTTTCTTCTTCCCGCAAGGCTTCGTTGCTGCCGTCATGCTCCACCTCGCCACCAGCCTCAGCATTCCACTCCCTCAGCTGGAGCTCAGGACAGAGGTGAGAAGAGTGGCGGTTACTGACCGTTGCTCACTTTGCAGCAGGTCCTCAGAGGCTCTTTCGAAGATTTCCAGCAGCAGGCCGCGGAGCAGCAGCAGCAGCAGCAGCAGCAGCAGCAGCAGCAGCAGCAGCAGCAGCAGCAGCAAGGCATCGTCATCTACGGCCTCCACTTGCTTGGCGGGCAGTTCGATGCGGAGGTAGTCACATGCTGCTTGAACTTCAACTGACGAGTGATAGGAGGGCAAGCTGACGCACGTCACCTCGCCGACTCACTCTCTTGAGCTTCCTCCTATCCGCCTCTCTCCCGCTCCTTCCAACAGCACAGCAAGTCATGTCTGCATCTTCAAGCCGCTCGACCCTGCAACCGGCAGCTCCTCCGTATCCCTCCCAGTCTATCACACAACGCAGCGAGCTGGGCATGTGATAACGATGGAGTTGGAGGCGAAGGAGGGGAGGGAAGCATGGTATCTCAGCAGCGCCGCCCTGGTTCTCGACAGCTGGCAGTAGAGCTCAGCAAGTTGAGCATCCTTGTATATACAAACTAGTTGACCTCGCGATCCTCCTGCCCCACTCTCCTTCTCTTCTACTTCCCCCTCATTCACACCGGCTACCCCAGCAGGAGCACTGAAGAAAGATCCCATGACAGAGAAGGACGTCAGACTATCGCCCAGAGCGCGTAGGGGCGAATCTTGGCGTGAGACCCTCCAGGCTTCTCGAACGTGAGCACCTTCGCCTTGTCAGCTCTCACCTCCCCGAGCCCGCACCGTCACCTTAGAGAGATGCGCACACTGGTGGGTGCGGAGGACGAAGCCGGCCTCCTGGTAGATCTTGACCTGGAACCCTGCTGAGAAGGCAGCCAGCAAGCTGCAGGCAGGAGGCGCAAGGAGGAGCAGAGGTACCAGGTCAGTGTTCTCGAAGTAGCTCATGTAGTAGGGCTCGTGGTAGTTGGCAGGGAAGCGCTTGCCGATGTGGTCTCGTTCAGGAATGTCTCCCTTCTGAAAGGAGTCGGTGATGACGGCGATGCCTCCCGGCTCGAGCACGCGGAACATCTCCGAGGCCACCTGGGGAGCGTCAGGGAGGGGAGAAGCAAGTGAGCGTCTGACCTCCTTCCTCACAGGGAAGGGAATCTCGTGAAACAAATAAGTGCACGTCACTATGTCAAATTCCTCGTCATCAAACGGTAAATCTTCTGCTTTTGCCTGCGCAACCATAACGCAACAACCTCGTTGTTGCTTCCTCGCGCTACCTGCACAAACTTGGGGAACGAGATCTCCCGCCCTGTGACCGATCGCGTGTACTCTGCGAAGTACTGCATGTTCTCTTCCGCTACCTGCTCAAAGTCAGCAAGTCTGTCGCTGCGATTCGCTTCTAATCTCCTCCCTTATCTCCTCTCCCTCCCTCCCTCCCTCCCTCCCTCACCTGAAGGTAATAAGGTGACAGATCAGAAGCAACGGACTCGATCGTTGGCCAGTTGTCTTTGATGAAGGTGTGCAACCTGTCATTCACTTCACCCTCCCTCCATCGTCACCTGCCCTCACACCTGCCAGTCCCACACGCCACCTCCAACAGCTTCATTTCATGCTCCTCCTTGATGCCTTTCAGAAGCGAGATGTGCTCACTGACAGACACAAAGCTCTGCCGCTGCATGGCGTCCTGACCAATTTGTGAGGACAGGTAGCTCAAGAAATGCAACGGAGGGGCAGAGTAGAGATAGGCTACCTGCGAGCCGGAGAAGAGAGATTCAGTTGTATATTCATACGTCCTCGCACTCTTCGTCGACAACCAACCATCGGTTTGCCAGTGGAAGTTCTGCAGGTAATAATCGGGATACTGACTGAGGTCTCCGAGAAGGTATCTACCCACAGACCACATCACGTCAGTGTCAGGGGGGCGAAAATGACTGGACATTCATACAGATATGAAATCTATGCGGGAATCAATAAAATGCACATGAAAGCAATTCCACTCAATGGAGATGACATGATTTGAAATGGACACAGAGGTGAACCAACACACTTTGATCTAGACTCACCGATCGTTGAACAAGTCTTCGTCTTCCCGCAGCGGGTCGTTGACGATCACAACCCCGCCAAGGGCCTGAGCCTCTCGCAGAAGCACTTGTCTCCTGACCTCTCGCTTGCCTCCTTCGCCCTTGGCTCGCCTGGGTCAAAGTCATCTTGCAACCACTGGCGGGTCAAGAACCGCAAGGCGGCACATCCAACACACCTCGAGCCCATGAGGATGGCTTCGTTCAAGGTGTCGAGAAATTTTTGCCGAACGTAGACAGGGTTAAACTGTCGGTGCCTCAAGCTCGCGTCGTAAGGGTAGCGATAGATGCCGTAGACTATATTCATGCAGTCCCTCCGATAAAGCTCGAAGATACTGCCAAACAATCTTCCAACCTGCAGAAGAGGCAGCCGTCAGGTGCTACGTCACACCTAACGCATCACTCACTCTTTCCGCTGACGGGATCTTGGTTGCCGACTTGAACTCTCCGCTGCTCTTCTTCTCGCCGCTCATAGCAATGCGCTTTAGAGCAGCAGCAAGCTCTCTACGATAGTTTTTGCCATAGACCCAGGGCCTCCAGTCAGGCTCAACCTTCATCTGCAGCAGGGCTGCCAGCACGTTGGATAGGAAGAAGAAGAGCGTGCGGCCGGTGTGATAGATCCAGTAGTTGCGCTGTTGCGGATCCTTGAGGGCGCGAGCTACAGACGGTTCATCGAGTAAGTTGAAAAGCTCGTTGAGGCTGAGAGGAATCCTCATGGGAATCCAGCGATCTCTCGGGTGGCCCTGCAGGTATAAGGTTTGTTGAGGTTTCGCATGTCGCCAAGACTGCCTCCATTGCTCTCTCTCGTCTTCTGATTCAGGCGTTTCGAACTCATGAAACCGAGATCTAATGGCGGGAGTCACTCTTGACCCTCCGCTCTTGTTTTTGTCATTCTCGTGTAGCAGGGTGGAGGCATCATGAACTATAACAGGTGCGCTGCTGCGTTCTTGACTGCTCAGGAACACAGCATGCTGGCTGTCTGAGCCATCAGCTTCTACATCACCTTCACGCGACTGTTGTGCAAGATCCAGCGCATTCTGTTCCGAAGCAAAGATCAGAGTTGCGCTTCTCCGTCGAGCAGTCCCTCTAACGCATCGGCTGAGGAGGAACTGCTGAGCTCTTTGTCGGTTGAATCGACTACAATCTGACGAATGAGGACAACTCAACGGCGACATTGCAAAACGTGAGAAAGCATCCAGCGAAACGCATTTGACAGCAAGCAAGAGCGCGGTCAGCAAGAGATTCATACGTGTTGGGCGCGAATGAACTCACAGGGCCTCATTGAACATCTCCAACTCCCCACTGCGCAATGCCTGCCGGTCATTTCAGACATGTGTTCATTTGTTTCACCACATTGCTCAGATCTTTTGCCTCTCCTCTTTCCGTAGTAGTAGTACTAGTACTCCCCCAGCTCCCCCTGAACACTTCCCCTGCTCCTGCTCCTGATCCCCCACCTTCCAATGCTCCTGCTCCTGCTCCCTCGGTCCCCTCGGTCCTGCTCCTGCTATCAATTGTAATCAAACTGCTTCTCCTGCTCCCTGCCCTCCCTCCTCTCCCTGCCCTCCCTGCCCTCCCTGCCCTCCCTGCCCTCCCTGCCCTCCCTGCCCTCCCTGCTCTCCGTCTTGTTCTCTCTGCTCCTCCTGCTCCTCCTGTTGCCAACGAACCCCTGCATTTGCGAGTTGCTTTGCCCAAACTCAAAAGCCTCTACCCTACCCCTCTTGATAAAGTTGACTACCCCTCGTTTTGTATAAATCGACCCCACCTTCCTACTACCCCCACCCCCTCCATTCCCCATTGGTCTCAGGGAGCTGCTTTGGATGTCTGTCTACATTTTACAACTGAAAAAAGAAAGAAAGAAAGAAAAAGAAAGAAAGAAAAAAAGCTGCTCTCCGATTGAATTTCAGCCTCATCTCTTTAAGATTCCGATGATCTAGTAGTAACCAAGTCACTCCCCCTCTCCCTCAGCTCTTCTCTGACGCTCACCTGGAACGACCGAAGTACTCCGTGCTGTTTCCGCTCCCATACATGGCCGCGGCGATCGCCTGCAGAGGTCCTCCTCCTGTGCCTGGGGCTGGGTAGCCTCCGATTGGGATGCTTGCGTCGTCAGAGGACAAAGAGTCCCTCCGCTGCTTCCTGCTGCGCTCTTCAGAGGTGACTATGGTAACATAGAGCTTCCCCGCTTACCGTTGGGGCTTCGCTGCCTTGCCTTGCAGATTCTGCTGCTGCTCAATGTTCCTGGGCAAGACATCAGAGCCTTTTCATCACTGCAGGAGGGGAGACAAGGAAAGAGTCGGCTGCGAATGTCGACGCCCCTTGTTCTTGAGCAACCTTGCCTTGATCTGCAAGCAAGTGAGATCACACAGACAACCTCTCTACGCCACCTTTAATCTCCTCGCCATCTCGTTGAATTGTTTCTCATCCATAATGCGCCATTGGACCGTATCCTGCTCTGACTTTTTCTCTGGATGCTCCTGCTCTTCACGATCAAACGCGATAAAAGATCAACTCAATCTTGTCTTGCCTTCGTGGTCTCGGTCTGGGCAGCCTCATGCTGGTCTGACTTAGACGAAGCCGCGTTGATCAGCTTGATGCTCGATTCCTTTGACGGCGAGATGCTTGAAGATTGACTCATCTTGAGTTCCTCCCCGTCAATGTTGGTGAGATCTAGCTCTTCGACTCCTTCGTGCTTGGGTTGCACAACTTTCATAAACCTTGAAACATTTCAAGTCAAGACCGATGCACGAACCAGAGACTCGGATCGCAAGGCATACTTGTGCTTCAAAAGAGCATCAACATCCTGTAACACCAGACCCAAAAAGTTAAGTGCGCCTAAGGTTTTCGCAACAACTTACCGGACGATCAGCAGGATTCCGTCGACAGCAAAGCAGCAAGAAGTCTTTCGCCTCCTGAAATTCCAGTAAGAGGATCATTGTGGAAACGAACTTCAGATTGCCTCTGACAAGGTCTTCTCATCGAAAGGAGGGTGCTCGTCTGTCGAAGTAATTCTGATAAGCACTGCGTAATGATTGTCCAGCTCGTTGTACGGAGGTTTCCCACTTGCCATCTACAAGACAGTCATCACCTCACACGCACCAAGCGTGGGATCACCTGCAATACAGTACAGCCGATGCTCCAGATGTCTGACTTCTTGCTGTATCTCTGCTCCTTGATCACCTACGTCCAGCAACCTCGTCATACGTCACTGAGATCCGCACGAAACCTCTCAACCTCGGGGGGCATAAAGACAGGAGTTCCTCTGAGGCTCAAGGAGGCCGCATTGTTGTCGCCAGCATTCACCGACTAGAGAGATGAAATGAGCATCGCTTCACTCTGACGTATCAACACAACATTGAGGTATCTTGAACTTCCAAAATCAGCAAGTTTGCAAACTCCGCGATTGTCAACCAAGATATTCTGTCCTTTGATATCCCTATGAACAGTCAAACACAATTCTTATCCGTTCAAGCAGCACCCACCTATGTATGATTCCCCTGCTATGTAGATACTGCAAACCAGCAAGCACTTCCCTTGTGTACCTGCACGTGCACGTCCACGGAGTCAAGAAAATGAAATTCAAGAAGTACAATTTCTATCTGCTTCTCACTTTCTCACAACAGTGTCAACAAGTGGGCCAAATCTGGACACCAAATCTGCTACGGACCCACCTAAGCACATTATTGCATCAAATAAATGATTTCAGTTCAACGCGTCAAGCTTTAGGCAAAATATTGATCACCAGGCATGTGCTCTAAAAAAATAGATAACTCATTGTTGACACTGTTTCGTTCAGTTCCAAGATATCTGTTCAATATGTTATGAGGCAGATCGGAAGATTTGACTTATCCTATACTTGACGATGTTGACATGGTCCAGCGTTGCAAGAAGTGCTATCTCTCTTTCCAGCTGTGAAGGTACAAGTTTCAAAACCAAGATGCTGAAGAACTTTGTCCAATAAGACAATCTACCTGTACTACTTCTTCGCTTCTTTCCTTGCTTACGAATACGACCTAAAAATTTTGAATTCCAAGCCAACAATTGAGTATTGCTATTTCACCTGCTTTACTACGAAGAGCTCTCCAGAATCAAGGTTCATGCCCAAGTAAACCTTCACATGTTGCATGAGATACTCAATGACATACAAATGGAAAAGATTAAGAATAACATCTATGGCTAGCAAGCCATACCCTTCCAAACGAACCAAACCCGATCAAATTCCCACGTTGCCAACGGACAATCGATCCTGATTCATGATCAAGAGAGGACATGATCGCAGTGGATATCCTACCAATCTGTCGAATTTTGCCCTCCGGCAATTCTTCAAGTTCTTCCAAGAGCATTTCTACAGACAGCATTCAAAACCATAGATAGCTTTGATTCTGATTCTGCTGCAGAATTGAAACCGTCATTTTTCACCTGGTTCATCTTCTACGAATGGAACGACTTCATCATGCATTCCATGTTGATCATCCGCTTCGTCATCTTCACTCCTTGGTCCAGCTTCCTTCCCTCTGGTCATTTCAACCGGCTGTTGTTTCGATTTCGGCTGCAACAAAGAAAGAAAAATTCACCATATGCACTACTTCGAATTTACACAACCGGCTCAAGCAACACACGTTTTTCATGTGTCTCCAGTGTACCGATACTTTTGACACTGTCTGATTTTTCAAGTTCCTGGACAAGAAAGGAATCAAAAACCATCTCGAGCGCTCTCGGAGACAATACCTTTGAAATCTCCTCTTTGTACCCTGGTGACATCTTTCGAATACTTTCAGCTGTTTCTCGCCTCAAGCTCTTTAGGATTTCATTTCTCGTCCGATAGGTCTCTTGCCGTAGCGGTGATGACGTCTTGCTCTTGCCCGATGCACTCTCTTTGTCAGGGTCTAGCTTTGCTGCTGAGTCCTCCTTGTAAACATTGATTTGATTGTGTGAACGGGCAACATTCTGCTGTAAACGAGAAGAATGCTGATGGGCCATACGGGGTCCAATAGCCTCTAAACTGCGCGATCTATCAGGCTTGTCAGCCCTTTCATCATAATATCTTCTTTCCTGCAACGCACCGATCACTCAAGCGAGACTACGGACAAACAACTTTATACCAACGGGTTGTGAGTGGACCATTGTCCAGGCTTCATCATCTTCGCATTGGTCGGAGAGTTTTTAGGAGTTGCAGCAGCTGAAGCCAAGTGATGGCGGTGGGAGAGGTCATGCCCGTCGACTGACAACCTCGAGCTGTGCCGGTTGCTCAAGTTCTTCTCCGAGTGCGCTCGAGCTACTGGATGCCGAGAATGAGACTTCAAGCGTACTTCCAGCTCATGGTCTTTCCAGTCGCTCCTTTCCTTCCAACCTGAGCCTCCGAGAGCACTGGGGAACCCGCCCATCTTGTCTCTGACCTCGAGGAGGAAGCTGAGGGCTGATGAGAGGTGAGAATGATTAGCGTGCCTTCATCGCAGAGCTGTCAAGAGGATTCTCAATGAGCTCTTTTCATGTTCCCCTAATATCTCGTTTCCTCTCATGACGCTTTTCCTCTGCTCATGCCGCCGTCGCCTCCTCCTCCTCTGCCCATTTCGGCTCTGGCTGCATCCATGTCGCGCCTTTGGTTGAATCGAACCAACTCAGTTGGTTCAATCAAAACAAACCGCTTCCACGACCAGCGAAGTGTCGCTGAAGGGGTGGGGGTACTTTTGTCCACCCCTCCGTTACCTAGCGATCAAGGGGTTTTGAAGGGGTACTCTATGAATGAGGACGCCAATAGGAATAAAAAACACATTTGGAGGGTGGGAATGTGGTAGAGAACAGGAACGAGAGGGTGGGGTGATCTAACGGTCTCTACTGGGGTAGGGTAGGTATAATAAGTCACTGAGTACCGCACAATCAGGGCCCATACAGTCACTCATATCTCCGGGGCAATAAAGGGGGTAGGGTACTTGACCCCACCACCCCTGAGTCTTACAAGAGCGAACACTGACTTGAGCAAAAGCTGGAGGCTTGAAAGTTATCAATCAGTACCCCTTGATTTCCAGTATGAAGGAGGGGTGGTAGAGGAAACACATATCCCGTGGTCCTCCAATCGGGGCCGTATTGAATCGGTTTAAACCACAACATCTGTCCGATTCAATTCATTCCACTCGGAGCCTCGGAGCAGCCTGTGCCACGGTGCCGAGTTCCCGGGCCCGGGCCCGGCGGCCGGCCGCCGCCGCAGCGCCGCCAGGCCCCCGGCCCGCCACCAGCCTGAGGCCGCCGCCCGGCAGGGCGTGGCCTGAGGCAGCCCGCCCGGCTGCGGCGTCACGGTCCGACACACACAGTTCCTGCAGTGCTTTCTTCTGCCAGGCTTGGCGCCGCGGTACGGTACTCAGGCTGCATCCCGGCGAGTCCTGCCACCGACACTGCCTCTCCGGGCCGAGTCCGGGTATCTAACGGACATCATTCGCAAGTTCCTGGCATGCATGATGGACCGTACTATCCAGACTGCTGAGCCTCCTGATTCCCGGTCAGTCCTACAGGCCCTGTCCGGGCCTCCTCAGTCCTGAGTCAATGTACTTAAGTTCGGGCGTCTGTCAAGGCGATCGTTCCCTCCAGCGTACTCTTCTGCCACAGCATCCACCTGACAACGTCGTCATTGTTGGGCCACTCGAGGATGCCGTTATTTAGGGCTTGAAGCACTTCTCGAGCCAGAGGACAGCTCCTCCTCGGACCGTTTGTCGAGTCGCCCGAGGAGGAGTCTTCGCCGGAGGTCTCCGACTCCGATGGGGGAAACTCTTCGAGTGGCGCCGACGACCGGCGCGGAGCTGGCAAGGCGTCTCCGTCCCTCACTGTGACGTCGGGTGCCTCCGGAGAGCTCGACACCACTGGGGTGCTTGCTGCTGGCCCGAGCTCGCCTGCTTCCTCCCCGGCATCGGTCGGGTCCCGCCGGTCCTTGGGATACAATGGATTTACTGGCAGAAGGTAAAAAGTGCCTCAAGCAAAACAAAGCAGGAACAAGCTAAACCTCCTGGCACACAGCGCACAGCGAGAAGCTGCACAATCACACACAAAACACACCAGCACTGCTGGCACCCAGACGCGGCATCGCCAGCCCAAGCGCGAAGCCGCGCAGACAAGCAGCCTAAGGGTCA